AACCCCTCATTTAGATCTTCTGAATACCAACGCAATTAATGTGAATACAATGCACCTACATAATTATAGATAGCAATCATAGACAAATGTCATTAAACCACAATTAGTAATAGCAATCAAATACACCTGTATACTTGTTATTAATAGACATCTTTGAAATGCTAATGCAATGCACCTGTATACTTTTTATTAATGCACATCTTTGGAATGTCAATACAATGCACCTATATCATTATTATCATTATTAAATATTAATACAAATCCCATTTTTTTAATTAATTAATAATTATAGATGCATCAATAAGTGCCACATGGTGAACAACCTGCATGGGTATTCATGGTGAAATATTAATACAAATCCCATTTTTTTAATTAATTAATAATTATAAATGCATCAACGTATCAAGATAGAGCAATTTAACTGGCTTGTCAATCCAATGTGTCAAAATTAAGCTATTCTAAATCTTCCAAAATGTGCCACATGGCAAACAACCCGCATGGGTATTCATGGCGACCATCGAGCATGGGTATTCATGAATCTTAGAGTTAAAAATATCTCATTAAACCACACATCCAACGTGACAAAAGAGAGCAATTCTAGAGCTCCAAAATAAACCAATTTTAGAGCTTAAAAAAAAAAAAAAAAAAAAAAGTGTCCTACGTGTCACTCAAATAGGTATGCTTTTACATTTGGATTTTGAATACCAATTCAGCAATTAATATCTCTCTACAATATCACCAATAAAATTTAACCACATAGTAACTACAAATCCTTTGTATCAAAATGGAACAATTCTATGAGCTTCTAAACATACCACATGACGAACAAGCTGTATGAGTATCCAGTTTATATATATATTTTGAAGTGCATGATCATCAATATAAACATAATAATAATAATAATTTTAAAGAAGATATGGGTCCTACAAAACCATCAACTAATTATAATCGGAGGATTTTACTAAATTGATTTGATAGGATTGTGATTGAGATTGAGATCGAGATTGTGTGAAAAATGTATCTTGAGCATCCTTCTCCTGAATTTCATTCGCATAATCTCTTTATAAACTTCATCTCCACCTTGTTTTTTGGTGGCCCATCTCATAATACATCTTTCGCCATCTTAATTATTATTGGTCAAAATATTTCTCCGTAAATACTTTAATTATGACATTAAATTTGCAAGTTGGGTTGGGTGGCTATCTACTTGACCTATTGGTCGTCTCTCAATTTTAATGATTGGTTCTTCTAAACTTGAAGTTTATTTATGAAAAATGTTACGTTTACAACCTAATATTATAACTTTTTTTTACAACCTTAACGTGACAGTAAAGTTGACGCTGTCATATCAACTCCCACCACATCTGAGACACTAAATAACTTTAACTAGATACAAACGATCGTTCTTTAATTTATAAGGAACAATCATTCCTTATAACAGAATGTTCATTCCTTACATAAGGAATGATCGTTCCTTAGAAAGGAACGGTCATTCTTTCATAAGGAACAATAATTCTCTATGAAGGAATGGCCATTTCCTTATGAATGAACGATTGTTTCTTAGGTCTAGTAAAAAAATTTGTGCCTTGGGTATGGTAGAGTTGATATGAAAGTGTCAACTTAACTGTCACATTTGGAGTTGTAAGAGAAGTTTGTGAGATTGAGTTATTGGCGTAGCATTACTCTTTATATATTAAGTAGTATTTCAAATAGAATTTTTTCTTTTTTATGACTGAGGGTGTCTAGATTAGTCTGCTCGCACCTCAACTAATCTTTTCGGATCTTAGAACTATCGGTTGAGTAAAAACTCTAATAGCAATCAAGTAAAAGCTCTAGTGATGGGGAATTAAACTCAACAGAATATGTTGGATCATTCTCTTTCTCTTTTACCATTAAAGAGATTCGAATTTGAAAGACCATGTTATATCCTTCTATTTTACTACCATGCCACCCAGCGGTCGTTGTTTCAAATAGAATTGCTTGCTCTATTGGGTGAGTATTTTGGTTTTAAATAGTTCAATACAATCTTCGTATTCACAAACATGCCCTTACATATAATAATGTTTCTTTTTTCTTTTGCTTGTACAATTTTGTCTTTACCAATTTATGAGTCAAAGCTATTCAAACTTGAAATTTGTACTTTCAATTTTTTTGTAATTTTATTGATAAATATCGATTTTTAAACCACTTGTAATATTAAATTCAAATATAAGGCTTTTAGTTTTGAAATCATGTCAAGTAATTATTTGATTAAATATCTAATAATGATCTAACATTAATATTGAAACTTATGTTTATGCTTTATGCACCTCCTCAAACATCCTATTATTATAATGATTTTGGTGTTCACACAATGGGCGTTATTAAACAGCAACCCGTACTTATCGTGCGTCAAAATTTCACTACAATTTGTCAATTACACACATAATGTAGAGAATAGACAAATGCAATAATAAACCAGAGGCAGGAAAATATCTTAGCACAAATTATCGACACCACAGAAATTGACAATTGTACCCATCCTTTTGCAAGTTGCAGCTCTTGATTACAAAACTAAAATAACTGGAAGCGTGGGATCCATTAAAAATCTGACTAGAGCCAAGAGCGGCTGCATCTGTCCACTTTCCAAATATGGCCAAGACGTGATGATCACGACTTGATTCCACTTACACTAAGCTTCACGCCTCACCGTTGAATAAAATCCATGGGCTCCACCGTCATGCGGCTCATGGTTTTCAATTCGCTACTGCCGATCACCACCTGCCCCACCAAAGTTTAGCTCAGCCACCCGTACATAGCCTTACACGATATGATAAAATGCAGGGGCTTTTGGGGGAAAACACTGCCCTTTCACTTTCATTCATGTTGACAGGAAGCGACCGCGCTAATCGCTATAGCGAAATATCACGTGCTTTAGCTGAATCGAGACCGTCAAACTCCAGTACGTAATGAATCACACGGTAATAAGGGTTCCAGCTCACGTGACTGTGTTTATGTAGGCCTACTCTTGTGGAATTTCAGCCGTGTACTGGCTCAGATTATTATTATTATTATTTTATTATCTTACTATTAATTTTTAGTGAAATTTTTTGAAAATGATGTGAGACTTAGTACTTCCAAACCAAGAGAAAAATACCACTAGTCGTATCGAACAGACAATTCCAATTTACACATACAATTCAAACAAATTAAGAAATACACATAATATAAAAGAAAATATGTTTATTATTATATTTTTTAAATAATATTTATTTTTTTTCACTATTTTAAGAAAACAAAAGTAAGCACATTCTCAAAATTTTTCTTTTAAATACAAGAATCAAACTTGTTATTTTTATTTCTAAAATTAAACTTTAAAAACAAAATCATAAAAAAAATACTATACTAAGTATTAACTAAGTTAGATCGTGGTCCGTTCTTTTTTTCTTACTTTTTTTGGTCTATTGTTTATTAGTCTTTGAAATTAAAACTTATACTGTTAGGGTATATTTGGTTAAGGGAATATTGTATTTGGTTAAAGGAATATTGTATTACTGAGAATATTATACTAATGGAAAGATAGATTATTGGGAATGTTTAGGAAAATGTCTTTGGTTGGTTGGAATAAATTGGTGAGTATGTTATATTAATATGTTTAGTTGAAAGGAATAAATTAATTGGTATATTATATAATTTGCTAAATTGCCTACATTTTTAAATATTAATATAATATTATTTTTATTATTATTTTTTGAATAATTTCCCCCTACATTTCAAATTTAGCTAAAATACCCCAGCAGTAAAAAAAGTTTAAAACTTAACAAAAACACCCCCACCCACCCCAAGCCATTGCCGACAGCGACGAAATTGGAGATTGGGCTATTTTCGGCCATGGATTTGCGATCCATGGCTGGAAACAGCCTTATCGACGCACGACTGGCCAGATATGGCTGGTCGTGCGCCATTTCGTTACCGCTGGCAGTGTTTTCCGGTGGCTAGCGGTGGTGGCCAGATCCAGCTACCATCCTTGGGTAATTTTTTTAAATTTCAGAGGTATTTATGTCTTAAAAACGTTGTATATAAAGATAAAATAGTCTATTAGCAATTTATATATTGTTTTTAAAACTAGGGCATTATTGTCCTAAAATTTTATTAATAATAGGTAAAATTATAATAAAAATAAGATTACCAAATAATCTTAAAATATATAAGAAAATGAAGATTATCAGATTACTTCCTGTATTACCAACAATAATTATTATTGGTATTGAAAGATTATCGGAATCTTATATTACTTGACAACCAAACGTGATAATCAAGTAATATAAAACGACTTTACCTCAATAATCTCATATAACCTTGACCAAACACACCCTTATGGTTATGTTGGATACAATGTATATCAAAGTCAGTATTTTCTTGTGACCATTTTTTTTTTTTTTTTTAATGAGAAACCGTTTGAATACTTTGATTATTTTCTTAAGTTGAAAAGTCATGTTGGAGGAAAGAGATCAATCCAACGTTTCTTCATTAGTATATGATTTTGATTTTATGTAAAAGAATAGTACCAACTTCATGAATAATTATATTTTGCTTACCATTGATTTATATGATTGAGGCAAAAATTAAACAAAATTTATGTAAAATGATTATTTTGTCTTTCGTATTTTACATGGTTATATGTTCTGTTATATGACCCAATTGTAAGCATGACATTGCTCAATTATAAAATAACGTTTTTACTTAATTCAACGATAATAAGAGCACTTGTCAACATATTATTAAACAAATTGTATATTCAATCTATTTAAAGAAAATTTTTATGTAATATCGGACTTACTGGAAAATAGTAGCCAAGGAAGGCAATAACAGTCAACCAACAACAATACGTAGAAATCTATAATTAAAGCACGTGAGCCACACCGAGTCATATGTACCACTTTGATCCGTTGCACACTCAACCAACGGCCGAGATCGTAGCCGTACCTTCCTTTCTGTCTTCCTATAAAAATCAATGAGAGCGCGTCTTCTCCCTCAGACCACCAACTCCATACGAGTGGAGAGTTGAGATCTCACAGCTCCTCTCAAACTTACTTTCTCTAATGTTCAACCCTTGTGCTTCTTGTAAAAAAATGCTTCTACGAAGCTCTTCAACGCCGATACTGAATTCGTGGATACCAAACGCGAAAGAGTCGTCTTCACCGGAGCTAGAAACACTTCACCAAATACAAAGATCTAAATCCATCACATTAACAGCTTCGTCTCCAACTCCTCAATTTTCTCCTCCACAAAGCGATGATTCTTTTAAAATTATGACGAGAGCGCTCTCAGAGACCGATCTTCGAAGCTGTACTGTGCCGCCCTTGCCAAAGAAGAGACTGTCCAACACATTTATCAGTGGAGTGGCAGTCGCGGAGGAAGACGAAATCGGCACGGCGGCTTTGGATTGTAGTTTGTTTTCGAATTCTGGATTAGCGAGTGAAGAGGGTGACGCTCGTGTTATGGTAGGTGGTGGAGTGTACGGTGGTGGCGGGAAGATGTGTGGTGGTGGTGGCAGTGGATCGAACGGTGGAAGTGGAGATGGAAGGTGGGAGTCAAATAATAATGGAAATGATAAAACTGATGTTTATTATCAGAAGATGATCGAAGCTAATCCTGGAAATCCGCTACTTCTTAGTAACTATGCCAGATATTTGAAAGAGGTAAATGTTAATTCAAGATTATCACTTTAATAATTTAAAAATACAATTGCTTGTTGTTTGTGCTGATGGGTTTGATGGATGTGAAAACAGGTTCGCGCGGACTTCGTGAAGGCAGAGGAGTATTGCGGGAGAGCAATTTTGGCAAACCCAAATGATGGAAATGTTTTGTCTATGTATGCGGATTTGATATGGCGGAGTCATAAGGATGCTCCTCGAGCCGAAGCTTATTTTGATCACGCTGTAAAGCTACTCCTGATGCTGGTGGAATCATCTTTAAATTTTATAAATCTCTGATGTAGTTAATGGGAAAAGAATGGAACCCGATCTTAACCATGGACTATTAATGGGTACATGTTATACAATTCTTAAAGAAGGTGACTACAGATTGTAATAATTCTAGATCTCGCGCGGTTAGAGGCTGCTAATTGAGCATAAAGAGAGTTGGTTTTTCTTGAAATGATAGTTTATTTATATTCTTTATGTAAATTATGACGAATCTAAAGTTGTTTTTAAGTCGGGAAATGAAGAAACAAAGATTTGTTTGAAACCTGCAGTGGTTGGTGATATAAGTCTGACTTGTAGCCTTTTCTTATTGTGATTTTTTACCTTTAAATTGATTCTAAGAGTCAATGGGTTGACCTTGTTTTATTTAATTTGATGGTACAGTTAGTTCTTGCATCATCATGCTCGATTTCTTTGGGATGCTGAGAGGAAGAAGGAAGAAGATGAGGAGGGAGAAGAATGAACCAAAACAGCAGCACCTATTATTATTTCCCATGGATTTTCTTCTGGACCTTCTCCAATAGCTGCTGCTTTCTTAGATTCTCCCCACCTGTTGTCTTTCTTGTATCATACAGTTTGGACATAACCTTCTACCTTTTGTTTATACCCCCTGTAGATTTCGTTAACCTTTTCCTGGCTTTTGAGACGAGTTGTATTTAACCTGTAACTTCTATTTATGTTATTATTCTTCGAGCCATATCATGTAGTAGAATAAAAAAGATAAAAGAGTAAGTTTTCCCCACCCAAAATTAAGTTTTCCCCCCAATTTCATTATTCCAGATTTTCATCCTTGAATTAACATAAATTTTCGTTGTAATGGTTAAAGGGTAAAATAATCAATCCAAAACCCCATAATTTCCTACCCATTACACTGCTGGCACTGCCATCGGCTGTTCAGCAGGCTCCTCGCTGGTTCGGACCACCAAAATCAGCTGGACTCAGCTACCCTCACCTTTTGAAGGTTGTTTGAGTGTTTTCTTAGCCAGATTTGCACCGTTTTCCTGTGACCCGTCTTCAACCCATTCGATGGTCGTTTTTGACCTGATCTGGTCGGATTTCGACACACCGAACCCCCCAAACACTTCTATCTAAATCCTCACATCACGCTCACCAAAACCCCTCTCTATTCTACCCCAGCGCACGCTCAATCGCTAACCGACGGCCTCTTGCACTTGTACGCAAACTCATTGTTTCTCGACCATTTTCGTCCATTTTGGACACCCATGAATTCCCCCCATCGCCACCATTGAAACCTCATCCTCGCCCCTTCTACACATCAATCAACCTCTTCTGACACCCCCCCCCCCCCCCCCCCCCCCCCAAGCTCCTCGTTTGCCGCCGCAAGTCGGTCGCGTTAGGACCCCCAACCCATTCCCGATTATCCATTCACGCAACTGCTCTGGGTTGCTTGGATTTGATTTTTGGAACTGTTTGAAAATGATTTTGCAAGAGTTTTTTGTTTGAAGTTTGCTTGGCTATTGATTAGAGTTGATTTATTGAATTTTAAGAGATCAGATTGTTGAAAAGTCGGCCATTTTCCACCCACCCATCAGCACCCACCATCTTTTTTTGTTAAAAAGCACAACCATCTGTTTGTTAAAAACACCACCAACGTGGCCTGGGTGGCAGCAGTGGCGATAGCGGCTATGGTGGTGACAATGACAATGACAATGGCCGGAAGAAAAGAAGAGGAAGGGCAGTTTGGTAATATACCCTCTACGTCAGAACTCTGCAATCAATAACCTATGGTACTTAAGGATGAGAAACGTAAAATAATAAACAGGTCAAAACTTGCCATATCACTAACAATGAATGAATTTTTTGTTGAAATTTCTCTCTCCACTGCATCACTACTACAATTTATTCTTGAAACTTTGCTTTTTGGCAAAGGATTGGCTTGAATTATTGAAGAACATAAACCTTATTAAATGCCCAACAATCTAAATATATCGTACGCCGCCAGGGTGTCAAATCCAAATTACAGTATCAGACTATATGAAATGCGGTTTCAGAACCACATACTGTTGTAGCTCAAGCTAAGCCTCAGTGGAATTGATTCTCTGTTGATTGTGATTTGAAATGCCCGAAGAATTCTTATTGCACATGAATGAAGGGTTTTTTCCGTTGACCTTACTCAGTGCACTTCATGTTTTTTTTTTTTTTCCCGTTACTTCCACTATTTATTCATGAAGTTGGAGATCTTAATTGCTGGATATTTTATGATTTTTGTTTTTGCTAACTTCTGCCCTTTTTAATATCGTATCATTTCATTTGGGCAGGGTACTTTTGCCATTAGCCGTCAAAGAGTACGATGAAGAACTGGTAGGATGACATGACAGATTTGAAAAATCAACAAACTACAGAATTGGAAGTAGTTCATCAATCACACTCATTATAATTGCAAATGATTTTTTTGTTATTCACTAATGGTTCTTTTTTTTTTTTTTGGGCCTACATGAGATAATCCAATATCTAATTGAGACAGCCTAATTTCTTCCAGCCACAGTTGACCATGAGCCTGAAAACTTGAAAGCTTCAAACAATCAACCAACCAAGAACTGAACCACCAACCCGCCCAATTCCAAGGACAAAATCATCGACAATGGCAGCTTAGCTCTGCTTCTGCAATAGGCACCACTTAGGAGTGAGGATCATGACCACACTTGTCAGATACCCATTAGTCAACCCGAGCATGAATGTCAAGCTAAAAAGGTGCTTCACTTCTCAACCTTGGGTCCATGGAGGCCAACGCAAAAGTGGATAGACAAAACCCTGGCAGTGCCAGCCCATGTTGCCTTTTTCACACTCTTCGAACATATATTGCAGTGAAAGACTTCCCCAACAAGTCCGAAACATTATAACTGTGATCAGTAAACAGGATACCATCCTGAAGAAGCTTAGATTCCAGTTTTTCAGCAATGAAACCTGGGAAAATTGACAGAGTCACTATGTATGTAAGGAGAACCCCAAAAGCGGCCACTGAATTTTCTTTGCCACTGTCCAAAACTTTTGCCTCGAAGAAAGTGGATCGCACTGACACTATGAAGTCCGTAATGAGTTGCGAATGATTGGTAACTTGTTTAACAACGTAGCAACCCAGACAGCAGCATAGCATGACGACTGTGCTGACTATAAAGTAGAAGTGGGCACTTGTTCGAAGACCATGTGAAGTCTGTGGGATGATGCTTTTGTAACAATCCTCAGATGGAAACGAGAACACCTGTTACAAAAAAAGGGTTCATTAGGACACATTACTTGATTTGAGTTTGACTTGGATTCTTCTAACCTGTCACCTGATATTACAGGTTATTTTAGACAAAAAAAACTGAAAGCACTGTCTAAGTGTTCTATTCAGATGATTAAGCAGAGCAGCCAGATGGATTAGTGCAAGGAAAATTATTGCCATTGAAAACAATCTAATGGTTTTATATAGAACATCAGTCTCTTCAATCATAATATTTATAATAAATTGGTATTTTTGCAACAACATGCGACATCGTTTTGGAACTGCTTAGACTTTCTCGGAGTGATCCAATTATTGTACCAGAAAGTAAATTGGTGAGTGATGATTAGAAAAACATAAAAGGTGATCCCATAGGAGGCATTAAGGATCTCTCTGCTAACGAAAACAGTGAAAGTGAAAGAATAGCTTCCGGATTCCTGGTAACATAAATTGGAGGCACTACTTTAATATTTCGAGCATGCACCTTTAAACTTCTCGCAAAAAGCAAAGCATGCTCATGTCGTTTAAGGCCTTTCTTCCTCAATTTGTTTCAACTGATCTAAAAAGTATGCTTTTTTTTTTTTTGGTTCTTCCATTAAAAACTAGTTCTCATCAGCATATTTGCTGACATGGAAATAGATTTATTTAGTGTGTTTCCTATTTTTCTTTGAAATGTCTTAACCTCTTACTGCAGTGTTCATGTATTTGTGGTACATTGATAATTCAAAAAGATATGAAAATAGGAACACAAGAGAAACGTTTTGTACCTGAAGAAGCTGTTCCAGCAAAAACAGCTTGCATATACCTCTTTGGAAGTTTCCCACCGATCCTAATCAAGCTTCCACCTATTAAGCCATCAGCTAAACCACAGATCACAACTGATGCCACTGTCACAAGCCATATGCTCCATTTGTCCCGCTGTCGCTCCAGCTCGGTCTATAATTGGAGGCACCACTAGAGAGAGAACAAACATGGAAAGCCCCAAGTCTCATTCTCATCTATAATTCAGCTTGGAACTCCACCCACCTCTGCTGACCACTAAACTAGAACAGTAATGAGAAGTCATGTAGCCACAGAGAAAACCTTTTCAACATGCCTAGCTGGATAGAGACTACCAAAGTAATCAACTGCTGTTATAAAAACATTCCAAGGAAGCAATTCCCTGCACCAAGAAGGAAATGGATTATATAACAATCTTGTAGTGTCTCTTGGCTCAGTCGATCTGTAACACTCTTCACAGCTTCCATTTTTTTGCATTCTTGCTAAACAGTGTTGTGTTAAAATTTCAGCTTTATTTTAGCGGCGACATGTACATATCGAATTGACTAGATGATTAGAAAGGCATAAACAAGCTGAGCTGATAAAGAGATCGAACTAGCTAACTGGGGGGCTAAGCTTGTGAAAAACCACAACTTATTGATATATATATGCAATAACTTGGTTCAAAATATGATGACTAAATTAATCTAGCAACACTAAACCAGCTTAAAGTAAGTCGGGAGCTGACAGCTCAACTTACTAGGACCATAGATTTGATTGATGGGTTCGGATTTGGAATCAATGAGGCTGATGGATGTGAAAATGAATGGGTGGGGACGGAAATGGATGGGCGTGTTTAGAAGAAGTAGCTTTTGATTCATTCAATTGCTACACATGCTGGCATTGTCCTTTGCTAGAACCTTAGCAGAACTGAGGTAGTTACTGGCGAATATCTTTATCCCTGATTTAATGGTTGTCACTTGCGTCCCATTAAGGGTCAGGCCACTGATATTTGTCCAACTTACTATGC